AATGATGGCATTTTCATCTCTCAAGCCAAGTATGCCAAGAATTTGGTGAAGAAATTTGGTCTTGAAGAAATGTTCAAGAATGTGGCACAACTCACTTCAAAAGGTTTATTCATGCATGTGCATTTCATGTCTACATTCCTGTTTCATTCTGACTAGCTTAGTTGTCTAGTCAGCCGTGCACACGGATTTCTAGCAAGCTGGGCACGTAATTTAAGACCTGCCTGCATAAGGCTAACTAACAGCTTTCTGGCAAATGTCTATTTTTCACCCTTGATATTTTCAGATCGTTTTGAAGCTTGACACGTGTCATATGGGTTGAAAAATGAATCAAAGCTTTTAGGGTTAAGATCCCTAGCTGGTTCATTTGTTTTCTTCAGGTTTTCATATCATAGTCCTACAGAAAGAATGAGAGAAAAATGCATTAAGTCATCACCTTCCTCTTTGTTCTTCATTTATGAAACTCTAGTTGCAAAAGCTTCTTTCATGCATTAAACACCCAATCATTGAAGAATAGGGTTGCATTGTCTTTGGTTTTGCATTAAATTTGTGGTCAAGTGTTTCTAGTTTCAAATCTTTAAAACTAACCCATTTTAGGATTCTCGTCAGTTTCTTCCTCTAAATATTTGACTGGAGAAACTGACTAGACATTTGAATCCATATCTGCATATCATTGCCATATCATCATATGCATAGTTCGTGTACTGGTCTCGGTGCCATAAGGTGAAAAGCTCAAGAGGAGCTGCCATTTCGTGAAGACCAAAGGAATCCATCTTGTATGAGGCAAGGTTGTACAAAGGTAAAGTTGCTCCATAGATAGGGATCTAGAAATTGAGCTTTGCACGGTACTTTGTAAGAACCTTGATTATACTAGTGGGTTGGCCTCGGTGAAGAGTCCTCAATTTTTTAACCCAGGGATGGGTTTTTTTTCAGTTAAAAACATCTTGTGTTCAAAGCTATTTATAGTGTGCCAGATATCTCACATAACTACATGCTACATGTATCACTTAAGCAGTTAATTAGTATGTGTTCACAATCTTGCTCACTTAACACATCAATTACTTGGAAGGAACTGACGAGCTTCCGATAAAACATACCTATCAATTTGTCCCCCTTACTAGGTGGTATAAAAGAACAGGTTTGTTGTGAAGGTGTGACACTTTCACTCCCATTCCCACTACTTACATATTGTGTCATATTGTGTCCTTGAGTTCATATCCACAATTTCACTTTCTTCTCTGCCACCACAAGACAACTCATGGCTAGCTTCCTTCTTTTCTTTAGCTTCTAAACATTAGCAAAGCACTGTGCCTTTAGATTGGGTGGGACGCTTTTTAAAACTAATCATTCCTCCCAAACTTACACCACCCAAGTGATGTATGAATCTAGAAATTGAACCCGTGCATTTGTGCTTACAATAACCACAATAGAAGTGTTTGGTGATAGGATCAAAATCTTTTGTCCATTACCATGCGAAATCTTTCTTAGAAGAAACTATATTCTTCAATGCCTAAACAATGAACATTCAATGCATATAATTAATCAATTTGGAATAAACAATAAACATTCAATGCCTTAACAATATGTGGATTGTGAGTAACACCAGCACTGTTTTATTTTTTAGTAGTACAATTAAATCTATGATCTAACCTACTAATCCTCAAAAACCCAATACCACGATTGCCAAAGGATAATATCCATAATTGGTTGCAATACCCAATCTTTCACAACAAAGTAATCATTCAAGTTTTTGGCGACTGGTTTGTTCGGCGTATGTGCTTTGTGGAAAAACGCACAGCAGTAGAGCATACACAAACTATACAAAAAAAAAATCAAAATCACAATTTCAGAAACCCTCACCTAAGAAGTTAAGGATTTGTGGGCGTGCTAACGGCGGTGTTGTTGCGGTAAGGTGATGGCGGTGCTGCTCGAAAATGGCAGCGGCTGCTGCTTGAAGTTGGCGGCGACTATGCTTTGTCGAAGACTCGAAGGTCAAGCGGGAGAGAAAATGAATAAAATAGAGAGAAGATAACATGATAGAAAGAAGAAACCTGGACGTTTTGAGGCATGCCTCTGCCACCTCGGCGCGCTCCAGGGACACCTTCTGCCCACTCCATCAAAACAGAGGCAACAACCCTCCCACCTAGGCGAGCCTTTTAAAACATTGCATAAAAGTCACATTCCACCAAACGAGCGATAAAGATATTGCTTGTTAAAGGTTTTAAGTAACAAATGATTGAAAAAGAATCATAACCGATATAAATTCTCATCTTTCTCTGAAAACCTATTTTTATAAGTAAGGACGGCCCAATCGACACGTAGATTGCACAACCTAAGATGTGCAGATGTGAAACGTTGGGCTCGTACCCAACTGGCAACTGAAACGCAGAATAAGGTTGGGTTGAGTTGGGCCTTAGGCAGACTAACTTGGCTAGGTATAGCATGGCCCCAAGCAGATACTGAAAGTTTAGCATGCATGACCAAAGTCCAAGCAATCAATTCAAGGTGTTTAATAACCACTTCTGCGAGGCCGTTCTTGGTATAAACATGGGGTACTGGGTGCTCAACTTCAATCTTAATGAACATGGAATAGCCATCGAATGTTTTCTATGTGAATTCTTCAGCCTTATCCAATCGAATCGACTAATCGGATAATTAGGATGGTGAATGCTTAGCCTAAAAATTTGAACTAGAAGTTTGGAGAATGCAGCATTTTGAGTGGTCAAAAGGCACACATGTGACCAACAAGTAGAACCATCAACCAATACAATAAAGTATCCAAATGGTCCGCATGGGATGGGCACATGATAAGCTTTCCAAATGAACAAGTTTGACATATAAATTCCCTTTGGATTTTGCTTAATTGTCGATTTAGGGGATGCATGTGTGTAACTTTGAGGATACAGTGCATTATAGCTCGTCCAAGGTGTCCCAAATGATCATACCAAAGTAAAGTTTCAAGTGCAATACCTGAGGTAGGGCCGGCTAGTGGCTCTCTATGGAATGGAGCGAATGGTTTTAGTGTACAATCCATTCGGGAGACGCTCCATCTTCTCTAGAATACGCTTATGTTCATATTCGTAGGAAGTGATGCAAAGAAACTCAATTCCATTTTCTTCAAAGGTTTCAGTGTAATAAATATTATCTCAAATGTCTTTAAAGTTGAACGGTGTTTTTCCGGAATGTGGAGAATAAAAAGCCTCTTGAATGGTCACTTTAGTACTATTGGACAACATTATACGGGCAGGGTCATATCCCTCAATCAGGTTAGAAGGGCCTGAAAGGGTTGTAAGAGGTGATATTTTAGGTAGTAAAATAGATGCGTTCATGAAAAATGGTGTGCAAAACAATTAACTTCCTCAATTGTCATACCTAGAAATAAATTACTTGAATTGGTCACAAGTATTAGAAACTTTGAAAATTTTCATTCATTCAATTAATCATTCGAGAAAAAAAATCCATAAATTCAATATCCAAAAATTAAAACAAACACCAAACAAATAGTCGAAATAAAGCAAGTTATTCCAAACTTAAACCAATAAATTAAAAGGGGGTTCGGCCAACATGGTGAATTCGGCCCAGATGGTGTATTTAAACCCATGTCTAAGAATCTATTCTTCAATCGGAGTTGATGCTTCCTGAAAGTAAGAAACCTTTATCTTCGTATCTTCAGGTTCCAACGCTTGAGCAAAATTTGTTCCAAACTTTTGACGACGTAAATGATACTTAGCTAGGATCGTAGCAGGAGATCGACATACATGGTTCTTCAAACCACATCTATAACACATATATGTATCCATGGTGTTATGTGTTTTGCCTTTATTCTGAAGTTTTAGGTTTTGGGAGCGAGGTTGTGGCGCTTATGGGCCCTGTTTCCTCCTAAAATTGGCCTTGACTTTATTGACCTTGAGCTTTCGACTTCTACCATGCCTACCACGGCTGGAATGGCGATTCAGGTACAATGGTCAAGTCATTAGGTCTAGCATGGTGATTTTGCATCATAGCTAGTTCTGTTTTTCAATAAAAAGTAAGATAGAGATCAAATATGAAAATTTGGTAAACTTATTTGCCCTATATTGTTAATGCATGACAATATTAGTGGTATGGAAGGTCGAATAAGTCTTCTTCAAGAGATCATGTTCGGTCGAGTCCTTGTTACAGAACTTCAAAAGTGATTTGATTCGACAAACTTCATAATTGTATTCGCTCACAAACTTAAAGTCTTGGAAGCGTAATGTTACTAGTCATGTCTTGCTTCAGTCAAGAATATATCTCTTTAGTGATCAAAATGATCTGCCAAAACGATCCATAAAGCTCGTGGATCCTCTATAACGAGGTACTCGTGCATCATGCATATGCCTTCATCTGAAGACCATGTACAACAAATACAACAAATATATGCATCTAGGCCTTCAGGGTCTAATTATAATGATTAATAAATTGATAATTTTCGTTGCTGGATTAGGGGCCAACAAGGAAGAAACGGAAGAAGTGCCCACCTAATATTGCCTAAAATAAATCAGGCGCTCAAATCATTGGTGGTCCAAATTGGACCAAAGCCCCACTTAGGCTGTGTAGGATAGCAGAGGCACAAGCATAGTCCAGGCCATAACGTATCAAAGCAACTTCGCTTGTTTGATCAGTATTATTAGTTTCTTTGGTATTAATATAAGTATCAGTATTTTGTTGGGCTAGATTTCAATGTAGGCTCAAAAATGGGTAATCTAACATCCAAATCTAAATTAGAACTTAGGCAATCACATAATAAATAATATTCATAACACATGAGACCAATTTTGTATATGCCTAAAAGAGGGCCATAAATTCCATCTCACAGGCACATTGCAATTTTGTCTCAATTTTTCACCCATATAGATGGACCAAGATCATATGGGCTCTGCACTATGAGATCCATTATCTCTCTGTCTTTTGTTTTGGTTCTCAAGCAAGCCTACAAGTTCAAAGCCCACTGCACAGTCCCCAAATGTGTGCATTGACAAAATCTTGAAGGGATAAAAAAAGAGCGACTTGTACTGTCTCATAGCCTCATGTAGTAGCTTCCTGCATCCCATTCAGAAATTTCTGAGCCATTTCTTTTCCTACTCAAAACATAACTAAACACTGAACGATGTTTGATTAGATAGACAATACTTTAAATTTTAGTTGGCAGAAAAATGGCATCAGCTCTGGTCTCCCCTTGTCTTCCCTCTGCTTCTTTCTTCAACAACAATGGAAGTTCAAGATTTTGCTGCTGTCCATCATCAGTTGAAGCATCCAAGTCCAAATCTTACTCGAAACGTTTCGGAGTCAGAGCCCTCAAGGAGAAAACTGAGGAAACAAAAACCCCATCTGCTGATTCAGCTGACGAAGTTACTAAAAAGTACGGCCTCGAAGCCGGTCTGTGGAAGGTATTCATCTCCAAGCAATTTATTTTCTGTCATACTTTTGATAGACTTCAAGTTTCCTTGTCTATTGTTATGTAATCGAATTAAAGGAAAGTAAGTTTCGAATGTTGAGTTCATAGAGTCTGTTTCTGCTCACCCATCTGACCCATGTGTTTTCTGAGGGGAGGTGAGGCTACACAAGGGTTACGCCACTGACAGAGCCAGATTTTTTTTGTTTTAAAACCTCATTCCTGAGTTTTTTACTAAACCATAAAGACAAAACAAACAAAAATGGTAGAAAAATATAAGATACGACATCGTTGGACTCAACTTCTTCACAAGGACAATTCATCTGCTTCTCATATCTCACGGTTCTATAATTGCAAGCTTGATGCCGCTACAAATTTCTTACACAGTGGTCAGAATGGGCTGGAACCACCCTGGTCTCTAGTGGCTCTGCCCATAGTTAGGGGATAGGTTAAGCTTAATGGTTAGTTCGGCTTTATATTTATTAGATTGAAAAAATAAGTAAAAATAATATTTCGTCAATTCAATCTTGCGCTAGTTTGAGTAGCGGTGAAGTTTTGGATTGAACCATAATGTCATGGGAAAATGCAGATATTCAGCTCAAGAGAGGAAGGAAAGGAAGGAGAAGAGAAGAAGTCAAAGGGAGATGAAGCCAAGAAGCTGCTAGCAAAATATGGAGGGGCATACTTAGCCACATCCATTGTTCTCTCTTTAATCTCGTTTTCCTTATGTTACGCACTCATCAGCGCCGGCGTCGATGTCCAGGCTTTGCTGCAAAAGGTGCAACCGATCATCGTATCAACTCAATGCAAACTTGACTCGTTTTACATGTCACGTAATATATGTTGAAGAGCGTCCCTTCATTCTCTGTGTTATTTTTTTCAGGTGGGAATTTCTGGCAGTGAGACCGGAGAGAGGGTTGGGACGTTTGCTTTGGCATATGCTGCGCACAAGGCCGCGTCCCCAATTAGGTTTCCTCCGACAGTAGCTCTCACTCCCATTGTCGCCCGATGGATCGGAAAGAAAGTTGAGAAGGAGGATTAGCTCCTGTGTTTACATACTGTATAAACCAGATTTTCGCCCTTAAATCCCTTGTTTTGTAAAATCAACCGTCAACTTCTTTAGTTTTCGTTTTTGTTTAGGGAAGGGCACGAATCAAACTCCTGGGAATAATCATATAAAACAACTGCCTGGATTTTGGGGATCTTCAACATCGCATGAACAAGCTACACTTGAGTAATTCAAAGCTTAAATTCACAGAGAGTAAGGGACTATACCCTTGAGTTGAAACCGAACCGTCATGAAGCAATTCGGCATCAGTATGATTGAAAACAGAACGAGGCGATTATACTAACATATTCTCGATTCGACGATATTCAGACTTTCTTGACTTCATCACTCTGGTTACTCCAACAAAAGCCTGCTGATTCTAATAACATACAAGGATGTACTAACAATTTTAACCTCATATTTGCCACTACGTCAGAGATATGTATATTACATAAATGTACAACAAAACAGCTACCTCCACCTACCGTTACGTTGTTCCTTGGTCCTTCGATGGATCTTCCTGGAATACTTGGGCAGCTTCCAGAACCTTCAACCCAACCTCCACGGTGAAACAAATACAGGAGATGGTTGGACATCATAGGCTCCCAAAAAACAAGTCTGCATCTGCAATTAGATTCATTTAACGAATCACTTCCAGGCTTCAAGTGTTCGTAGGGTTGCTGGTAGTGGAAGGTACTTCAATTAAGCTAGACGGTGGAGTTTGGGGACGTGGTGAGCTGGCATTAACCAACGGATATTCTTGATCAAGTGCACCCAAATCATTCCATACAACCCCAGCTGTAGTTGATTTGGTCAAGAAATTCAGTATCACTTCATAGATATTTTTTACCAGTCAACTATAAACTCAAAGAAAACTAAGTGAAAATAAATGTAACATCTTCCGGCACAAGGATACGTTCCGTTCTCCACATGTCTGTGATACTAATATCAGCATCTGATAAAAGCCAGTAATCTGCATCACTCTGCAAAGGTAACCGAAACAGTTGACACGCTATAAGTCAAAGTTATTCTCTTGCCAGTACAGCAAAAGTCATCTAAACATGTTGCACCGCTTCATTGTAAATGATATTTCTGGTTGCCATATTTCGTAAAATTTTATTGAACTTAAGAAATTTTTGTAGCATATTGCATCTTTCAAATAGGCAGTGGTAAAATCAATAAAGAAGCCAAACTTACATCAACATCTGAGGGAACAATCTTCATAATCCCACTAGTAAAGTCCTGGGCAGCAGTAGGATCAGCGGACATTCTATGATCATCTGGTACCTGCATTTCAACATCCTTCCCTCTATCCTCTGCAAACATTGTTGTAGCTGGGTTTTCGTTAGCCCCTGAAGTTGAAGGGATGTTTGTAGGTACTTCGACACCATTAATCTCCTCAAACTTCTCCTCAAATTGACTACAACGAGAGAGCAAGAGAGATCACTAAAATTCATCGTGATTTTTGACGTTGCAAGCGGGAGAAAACATTCATTGGTGTTCATAAAGTAATGATAATGGACCATGAAGCAACAATACCTGACAAGGTAAACATCTATAGGACCCATTGTGCTTCTCAAAACCATCCTGTATCTCCTTTGGGGATAGTCAACGACCTATTACATGAAAGAAAAGTTTGATTGAATAATAATGATATGCAAGCCAGTAGAGAAATTTTATGTACCATTTTGCCCTGAACTCTACCTCGTCAGGATCTGGGACTTCAAGAGTGGTGCCATGTGGAGCTTTAATTGCTATTAAGGTTTCATTCTGACAGAAAAAATAAATTGTAGATTCAGTTTAACAGCACAAATTAAAACGTTTTGTTAAAAAATACAGAATGTGGACAGTTGCATTGATGAGAATAGCAAACATCAAAATTTTACCTGCAAGGAAGGTAAGCCCTTAATATCTTCTTCAGTGACAAAAAGCCATCTACCAAAGGAAAAAGGCAAATTGAGATAAGTGTGTGCATGGATTGCATTAGACTGGACAGTTGAAACTAGCCACAGTTGACCTTCCATGAAAAGTAACTGAATATTGGTGAACATAAAAGGATAAGACTTTTACTTCTTATTGCTTTCATCGTCGCTCAGGTCCCTCAACCTTTCCTGCATTTCTCTGGACAATTTAATAGCCCCAGTACAACCCAGAGTTCACCAACAACAGAATAATAATAACACTAAAAGTAATAAAAGCAATAGAAATAATAAAAATAATAATAACAGAAGAAAAAGCAACATCAGCTAAGTAACCTTATTTGCTGATCTAATCTGCGCTCCTCAGTAGATAGGTTTTCAACTTGTGCCTGAGACCAATTATAAAATACTGTGAATGAGGCCATATCTTTACTTCAGAGATACGCAAAGATTATTTTTGCTACTACTTTCAATGAACAGTTGGAAGATTTGATGTATGACCCAACAACGCGAATCTTATCCACCAACACCATTACAGTAATTAGCAAGCACACCAACCAAAAGCCTTAGAAAACTTTTTCCAGTCAAGAAAACAAATCTTGCCTTTTCATGCCAGTCATTAAATTAAAATACATTACACCAAATTGGAACTGGACAGATGTGGGCTGAAATCTAGCAAGCTCAAATAAACAAAATCCTAGCAAACTGTTTCTAGTCACAAACACAAATCCTGCTTTGCCATATCAATCATTCATATTTGAATTCATTACACTGGACTTGGGAATTGAAAAAACATGAACACAAATACAAACACAAACAGCATGAGTACTACTAAGCAAACAAAGATAGTGTCAAAAGTTGACCCAAGACTGAGTGATCGAAGTATGAGCATGCCAATAAAAAAGTTCACTTCTTCCCATACCTGTAAACTAGGATAATTTTCATCTGCATCTCCTGTCCTCGAGACATCAAGTCCCCTAAGCAACCAATCACTCAGTTTAAGTAACTTCTAATGCACAGTGGATAATTGAATTTTTACAGCTTAGTAAAAAGTGGAAAGAAAAAAGCTGTTTAATTTCAGGAAACAAGGCTAAGAATCCCTTACTTCCACTGAATTCTATTTTTGAGCTTCTTTTCTATGAGACCAATTCCTTCAAGAACATTTGTTATATCATATATCCGCCTCTTTTGGACCTAAAGGAAAAGAACACTTGTCATTAACAGACTATATTTACACAGGATACATTACAACAGAAAGGCAAGTAGTCACCTCCAAGGTATCAGCAGCTTTATTGAGATCTAGAATACCATCTTCCGCATGTTTGATCAGATTGATAAACTTCTTTGTTAAGAGACCTGTATGGAGACAATAGGCAATTTCCTTATAATACTAAATGACTAATGAAAATTATAACTTAATTTTCTCATGAAGAACCTAAATAACTAACTGAAAATCAGTTAACAAAAACATATAAATTGTTCTGTTACCTAGGGAGCTGTCAAAACGACATGGACCGGCTGGAGTAACATTAGCACCAGAAGGAGAACCTGTCAATCATACAGATTAAATGCTAGTGACAGACTAAGCAACTCTAGTAAATTATTGTAGCATCGAGTAATTCATTCTTCACCTAACAATTAATCCATTCTTCTAAGTCAATTCAAATTTTCCTCAGAATAAGTGGCTTGGCAAAATTTATTATTAGTAACACTCACCCACATTGGAAGCTGGAGTCTGCGGTCCAGATTTGCTGCACTTTGTAAGCCTTGATGCTTTGTTTGCCTTTCCAACCTTGGTTGCCACAGGAGTCTGGAGGGGGCTGTTAGCTACTTCAGTGTATCCAGGAGCAGTTGTCCTATCGGTAGACTCAGCTTCGCAATCTACTGCGTTACTCTTCCTTTTTAGCTGCTAATCCACCGTTCAGTTTTTTCCAAAACACAAAATTAGCACCAATGAACAAACAATATCACATAAATGATTACAACATGAAAACAATGCCACTAATCTACGAAGAGAATTATTATTACAAGCATGCAAATACATTAGATGTTAACAAAACATTTAAAACAACTTAAGTTTCGAGGGGACAACACCACAAATTATAAACTCAAGGAATCATAAAATCAAAGTTCTACAGATCCAGTCTAATCTCTAGAGCATTCTAACCTCTACATAACCACAGCAGAGAAATAAACACCATTGCCATTAAGGGAAAACCAATTGTCATTCATTCTCTTATTTCCTAAATCATATCTTCGATAAATTACATTTTACAAATTTCCTCTATAGAAAACAACGGTATTCGAAAATTTGTAGTAAGAACCAAATTTTCTATACTGCATAAGTAATGCAGAACGCACAAAATCCTAAGCAGTATAACCACTCGCATTGAAAGGCAACTCCCAGAAGGTAAGTCGGGCCAAGAAGTGAAAAATAAATAATTACTAATTATGATATACACCCCATATCAGAAACATGCAAACTTTATTTTTGGAATAACATTTGTACGTGCTGTTCACACTCGAATGCAGTAAACACAGAGGTTGATCATAACTAAAAAAAGAAAAAAAGAATCATGAGACAAACAACCAGTGCAACAACAAGAATTTAACTGTATTGGTATCCTTAAGAAGCATGCCCCAAGATATGTACAGGGCCCTTCATGAAGAATTAACTTAAAAGCCTCCGAGAGGAACAGATACCAGAGAGAGAGAGAGAGAGAGAGAGAGAGTGTGTTCCCAAACGATCCATTATCTTCTTTTGTAGATAAAACCACACCTTCAGTTATGGTTCTTACTGTTGCTATAACAGATAGAGACGGGGACATTAGCAACATATAGTAATTTAGAGGTTGATATGTAGTATTTCATTCAGTCATCCCCTGCCATTTGTAACGTCGTTCAGCATAGTTTGGAGAGATTGGTCTAACAAATACCAAATCCAAGAAAGCCAATGAGACAAACAGATTTTAAAGTTTTCTTTTTCACTTTTGGGTGTGTATAGATATATACATGTATGCAGCAGACATTACTTCAATTACCAATGCTATCATTCTTGTTCGTTGGTTTTAATGCATCAAGGGGAAATATACAACACAAAAATGAAAAACGCATTTGGAGGTCTTTCGAATTGCTTTTGGCAGTGTCAAAAATACATTTTATAGTGTTTGGAATAAATGAGCAACCATGATTTATGGGGTCAGTGGAGAACTTTAGTGGTTCCTTGAGAAATGCT